ATTTTTTTCTTGTACTTTTTTCTTTTTGTGCTGTCACCTGGAAAAAAGTTTTTAATAACTTTTTTTGTATTATTTTAAAGAGAAAATATGAGCAAAGCTGCAGTTGTCAGAATAAAGTGATTTGACAGAGCAACAAAAATACAAATAGCAAACAAAATACTCTGCAATAAAACTTGTTTAAACATTGCTTACTAAAACACAACCCAAATTGATTGTAAATGTGAACAATTCGGTTGCGATCTTGCAGGTGGAGCTCAGCTGTCCCAAGGAGATGGCGTGGAAGGTGAACATGCACCGCGGCTACCTGGCAATCTGCAACCCCGAGGAGCAGCAGCTCAACTTCATCGAGCGTCTGGTGGAGATGGCCTCTAGCCTGGCCATCCGTGAGTGGAGGAGGCTGCCTCACATCGTTTCCCACGTGCACACGCCGCTGCTGCAGGTCAGCTCACCAAACACAGGAGTTTCACTCTCGATAAGCTCATTTTGATCCGATCAGTTAGGGGGGAGTCAGTTTGTTGTCGTAAGTACTTCAGAAGATGCAAGGAGTCAAGAGATCATCAACAGCTCTTAAACACTGTGCCGTTGAGCAACGCTGATAAGAGCTTTTATCTCCCTCCCTCACTTCATTTTGTAAAATTGAGATGATAGGAAAAAAATGAAAACCCTTTAAGCCTCTTTAATTCCACTGAAATAAATTACAATAGATGGGGCAGGAATGGAGGGATAAAAGGCGAATGAAAAAGCAGGAAAACTTCAGCAATAAAACAGAAAAAAGGTGGAGAGTGAACAGAACAGGGGAACATATAGAGAGAAGAAGAAAGGAGGAGAGGTAGTTTAGAATTTTTGTAATTACTTCCCTGCCATCAGATAGTGTTTGATTAAATACGTGCAGCAGAATTACATTTACATGATGAATGGGATCGTCTGAATGAAGGTTAGAAGTGGGCCATCAGCTGATATGAACAGATAATTGTGAAAAATATTGTACTGCGCAATTTACTTTGTTTTGGGAGATTTCATTTCAGTGTAGGGGGGTGGGTTAAATCTTCCCCGCTGCTCTGATTCACTACATTTATCTTGTAAAAATGGGTATTTTAATGGCCTGACTTTGTTTTTTTGTTAGTGCGCGCGTGTGTGCACTGACACGGAGTTCAATTATTTACCCAAGCCACGGAAAAACAAGCTCTTCTTCCTCCCAGCTGAGCGACTTGTTGTAAATCTCTATTCCAAACTCTAAATCACAACTCCAGGACCCGATGAGCCATGCAGACTGAGAAAACCCCGACTTTGCAAATACCCTGGGCTTCAAATATGATTTGAATCAAGTTATCATCTAATCCCAGCTCTCTGCAGTAACCTGCAGTCAATGGATTATCACGCTCACTATCGATTACGACAGCTGGCATTAATTTTGATTGATGAGTAGTTATAATGGAATGATTGAYTCAATGTTCAAAAAGCTGCTCTGGGCCCAATCAATGAGGCTTCTTTTTCAGGGAATAAGAAAGAAGCCCTCACTTATCATTTTCACATCTTCCCATCTCCCTGACTTATTAGTTCTTTATTTATTTATTTATTTTTTTTTATGGATGTAGGAAGACATTTTTGCAGAATATGCYTTGCAAACTGTATTTGTTGGCTTAAAATTTGGACTGTGCTGAGTTTGTGGCACACAGATGAGGTCTTTTTGTACCTTAATATATTTTTTATGCCAGAACAGTAATTTTCTATTAATTTGTCAAATTGGTCCAAAAGAGTAAAAARCACATTAAATTATGTTAACATTTTTAAAGTGAATTAACATTCTGCTGCCTGATGGATTAAAATGTTTTACATTTTTATAGACTTTTTCCTACTATCGTTGTATTTAGATACTCAAATTAATGTTTTAAGGGAGAAGGAGGAAAACTTAACTTTTTTCCCCTTGCTGTTGTATTCTCAGGGTAARCCTTTTTTGTTTTATTCAGACTTTGTGCTTTTATTCTGTAGTTTCACATGGCATTTTATTTTGTTAACAAAACATTTTATTTAGTTGCACAGCTTCTTTCTCTTCTCTCTCTTCTGTTCATACTTCGTCTCATTCCTTCAGTTCTCCTGATCTGTATCTCACAAGCTTTCTTTGCATCTCTTAATTAAATCTTGATCTCCATATTCATCGTATCACCATGTTGTGCTTTATTGGTCCAACCCTTTCTGATCTTTCTCATTGTTTTAAATCAAACACATTCAAATATTACGTTTTCTTTTCTTCCTCAGATGTCAATGAAAGCAAATCAACAAAAAAGGGAGATAAGGCAGTAAAACAACTTATCTTATTAACTGMTCATTTTACTCTAAAACCTTTAAGCTATTTGTTGAAAACACCCCACAACAAACAAATTATAGTGTCTGTCATACCGGAAAACCACAAATTGAAACAAATGTGACTCTTTGACATGAAATTGTATTATCTTAGTTTAGAATAAGTAGCTTTTATTTAAGTTGTGTCGGCAAAATTATTTACTTGATTAAAGTCTGCTGTTTCTCTGTCTGATCTTTATTTTAAAGCAGACAGAAAGTATTACCCAAAAGAAGTTATCTTATCATGAGAATTATTTTCTTTTTCGATCATGCTTCACATTGCCTGTTTCGTATAAAACCTAAAGGTTCCATCTAAATGAAACTTGGCATGAACTGAGTGTGAGGATAATCAGGAAGTCTTGTTAAAAGACGCAAAAAAAAGAGAGAGAAAGGTGTCTTAATTTATCCTTCCTCCCCAGGCGGCACAGCAGATCATTGAGCTGCAAGAAGCGGCCCAGATTAATGCCGGCCTTCAGCCTGCCAACCTGGGCCGCAACACCAGTCTGCATGACATGAAGACCGTGGTGAAAACCTGGAGGAATCGACTGCCTATTGTTTCTGATGACCTCTCCCACTGGAGCAGCATATTCATGTGGCGCCAGCACCACTACCAAGGTATGGCTCTCTGTCAGGACCAGACTGCTTTTAAATAAGATGCCAGGAAGCGTAGTAACATCTTTCTTAGGGAGAGTAGGTGTGCTGCAGGACGCCTCCTTAATGCTGTTTTGGTTTTTATAAGTTACAGTTAAAGGCCACATTGTGAAGAGCCCTCTCAGGGTGTCTTTGCATTTCCACATGTCATTTCACTGAAGTGCACACACATACGCTGACACACACACACACGCACCTCTACCTTGCTTAGTGCTCAGCATCTCTCCAGCAGTGATTTTGAAGCCATTCAGAAAGGCAGCCACCGCAAAATGTGATGTCTCAAGCAAGTTGAGCTCCAGCTCACACGATGAGGGCTAAAATAATGATAGTGTTGTTTGGCAGCAGCACGCCAATAAAATCCACCTCATTTATACATGACAGCCTTCAAAGGTAAAGTGAAATGGAGTTTTCTTGATGAAATTCATCACCACGGTTCATTTGCTGTTCAATATGTTCGGCGTCCCCGGCGCCCTCCTTCTGCGTTACGACAGCGCAGCTTTCAGAGCGCTGCAGGATCTTCGCTCTTCATCTCGCGCTTTACTCACATTGTCACCTGAATAAAGAAAAATGCTGTCTTTACGTTTTATTTATTTTTTGTTTTGTTTTTTGCCTGCAGCCATTGTGACAGCGTATGAGACAAACACACATGACCCGAGTAACAACAATGCCATGTTGGGAGTTCATGCCTCAGCTTCTGCTATCATTCAGTATGGAAAGATAGCTCGCAAACAGGTACTGGCTCTCACTCAAAGGTCTGTTTAAATAAAAAATAAAAATGTTTGACATTTATCATTTCTAAAAATGCACATTTTTATGTGGTGTGTATAAGACAATGTTGTACCGTTTCTCTAAGGGATTGGTGAATGTGTCTTTGGACATTTTAAGCCGTATCCACACCATCCCGACGGTGCCCATTGTTGACTGCTTCCAGAAGATTAGACAGCAGGTCAAGTGTTATCTGCAGCTGGCCGGTGTCATGGGCAAGAATGAATGCATGCAGGTGAGATTTCTATTTTCTATTTCCTGTTTCCTGTTTATTTAGAAATGCTACAACCAATCAGGTCTTTTGTTGTATTGGCAGCTGATAATGTTTTTGCCAGTGTGTATGTGCATGTCTGTCTGTTAGTAAAACATGGAGGAATTTTTATGAAACTTGTAGAAAGTAGTCATTAGCTGCACATCTTTAACTGACCCAATTGAAGAAGACCAATACAACCAAATCATCTTAGAAAACCCACAAATAGCTCTGTCRGTTTCACAGATATTAGTCTCAAATTTGTTGTTGTACCTGAGGCACACTCACAACACATGCTACAAGTGCTAATCTTTCTGTGAGTGCTTTGCCTAAAGCTTCAGTGTTAACTGTTGGGGTCAACCCAGTTTGTCTGTTAGCAGAAAGTGTCATGAACCACTGGATAGATTTTAATGAAACTATCAGGAAGTAATTAGAGATCGACCGATACAGGTTTTTGAAGGCCGATACCGATTATTTTGACTTCAGTCTAACCAATACGTCGATACGTGCAGCCGATTTTTTTGGCCGATTCTTGAAGCCGATACTGCTTTTCCTTCCTCCATTAACATGATAAAAATAAGAATGATAACAAATGTTACACAAGTCTTGATTTAAACAAAAAAGAAACATTTATTAACTGAGCCTTGTCTGGTGCAGACTGCGTGAAGTCCTGCCACACAGGATTTCTTTTTTCAGCCATTTGAAAAAAAAATAAAAATTTAAAGATTTATTTTATTCTGTTTTAATTTATATATTAATCAGATTAGTATCTTTCTTTACATAAAATAAAATTACCATATTTTAATATCCCAGTATTTTTATGCTAAAACAGGTACACCAAGAAAAGGAGAGAGACACACACATACATCTTGCTATTTTTGTGAGGACTTCACACACACACACACACACACACACACACACACACACACACACAGCGCTCACAGTCTGTGCCCGGTTTTTACACCGGGCAAGAAATCCATTAAAACCAGCTGATGTTAGCTTTAGACCTCAGTTTGAAATGTACATAGAAGAAAACTTGCAACACGACTTTTATACTGCGGTCAGATCAAACGTGATATGAGCAGCGTCTGCCTGGTTCACATGTTTACATGGACAGCAGCTCTTTACTCGCTCTTGTGAACGTAACAGCGAGAAAAGACCGAGAGCTTTTTTATTGTAATCCAGCGGGGAGAAGAATAGAAGTGTTCTTCTATGCCTCCTGTGAGCAGCTCCAGCATTTTTTAAAAGAAAAACAACGTGGACATGCTAATTACGCTAATACAGTCCGGTGCCAAAGTGAAAGTAAAACGTGGCACTCCCGTTCGAAAATGAAACAACACACAGCTGTTCTTTCCTCCTCATAGTTCGAGACAGAGGGCAGAAAAACTAAATTAGACAGTTAAAACACATTAAAAGTTCACAGCTCACCCTTGTTGTTGGCACTCTGTCACAACATTACCATCCGCGCTCTCCCAGGGAGGGGGCGGCAACACATGCGCTCGCATGACCCAAAGAATGGATCGGCCGAACGTATCAGCCGATACCGATACAAGGAAAAAACGTAAATATCGGCCAAAAATATCGGCCGGCCGATGTATCGGTCGACCCCTAGAAGTAATTATTGGGCGGGTTATTACAACTGATTTCTATTTGGAGTCCGTTTGATCCATAATGGGCACGACAGCTAATCAATTTTAACTGACCCAAAAATGGCTATTATTTAGTTTTTTTTTTCTTCCTTTTTTCCCCCCCTAATATTGAGGTAAACCCTGATATTGGCGTAGCTGGGCATTTTTCACAACACTAACTTTGAGCACTAACTGATTCCAACACAGTCTGAACTTGGCAGCTCGTGATATCAGATGAAGTAGTGCATAATGTTATTTTCAAGGTTCGACAAAATAGCTACTCCTCTGTCATTTCTCAACATAAGAGGATTGCTGTCTAAAACCTTAGCATGACAATTGGCAGGTGATATGTAATCTTTTAAGCAATGCTATCGCTTAAATAAATAAAAAAATCACATATTTTACATGTTCATTGAAACACGTTGGCTGGGCTTGGCTGCCTCAGTCTTTGGTTGCCGTCGGTGAAATTAGGGTTACTTTGTGTGAAAAGCAGTAAGAGTGAGAAGGGTTCGGGGTGGCTGCAGGTGACAGGTTATAGCTCTGAGACTTAGAAGAGAGTGTAACTCAAGAGCTTGCTCTTAAGTCCACAGAGCACTCTGATTAATAGAAGCTGTTCAGCACACCACAAGTCATTAAAAATTGCCAGCAGACATTGTTCTCTCTCTCTCTCTCTGTTCTTTTCCTTCTCTGGTTCTTTTGGTCTCTTTCTCCTGCTACACATCGTTTGTCACGGCAGTACATAGGAGACACCTAATCAGAGAGTCACCGTAATGGAATTTTAGTTCCCCTTTAATACTTTTTTCTCCCTCTTCCTCACTTCTTAATGAACAGTGAGGAGTTTGTTTGTTTTTCACCTGTTATTATGGCACCGTCTGAAACAGAAGGCTGTGATGTTGTCCAATTAGGGTTTTTTTTTCGATTTGCATGAAACATTTGCAGTTTTGTTTATAGTTGTTTTCAATTTGATGTTGACCTTTTTTCTCTTTAGGGTTTAGAGGTGATCGAGTCGACCAACCTGAAGTACTTTACCAAGGAGATGACAGCCGAGTTCTACGCTCTTAAGGGCATGTTCCTGGCGCAAATAAACAAGTACGTCCTCCAGCTGCTCTGCCTTTGACAGCTTTTGCATTACAAGTTGTTGCCAACTTTACGTTCAAAACGCACCAAACCCTCACCCGTACCTTCTGTTTGTGTAAGTGTTCCGTCCTGCTTGAACTAATCGGTCACATTCGTGTCACTTCCCACCTCCAAGGTAAAATGTCGTCTGTCATTAGGTCGTGAATGAGTCGGTAACTTTGTTTTCTGGCTGCAGGGTTTGCCTTTGGAGCATGCAGCTGCTGTTCCCTTTCAGTCAATTCACTCGGTACAACACATCATGTATGGGAAACCACGCCTCTGCGTGTCCTGGCTGAAGCCACCTCTAATCACGCCTTTAGGCAGGTGACGTGATGACGACAGATGTCAGGCTCCGCCTGCACATATACTGTATATATATTGTCACCATCACAGTCACTCCTTAGTTCTATTGCTCTTCACCTCGCAAGAACACCCACCTCTTCCAACCTAGCTAGTTAGCTGCTGCTAATTAGCTTTGTTTGTTCGAAGGTTCTCGGATTTAGTTTATCGGCTTTTGTTGGTGTCAGCTGCAGCTGCCTACTGGTAACTGTGTCTGCCCGCGGAGCGCTAACTTTGAGAAACCTTTCTTACCTCGACGAAAGAGAGAATTTTGTGGTTCGGGATGAGCACAAAATTACTCAAGAAGAAGCAGAAGTCTTCAGTTCGCTCCTGTCCCCAGGGGTGCGGCTTCTCGCTTCACGAAAAGGACCAGCATGAGGCTTGCCCGGTCTATTTGGGGATCGTCCACGCTCGTAGGGCGTTGGCTGAGCCCAAAGCGTGTGCGTTTTGCCGCCTGCTTCGACGCTCAACCCTGGAGAGACGGGTTAAGTTCTTGGAGAAAGTGCTGGGCGAGGCTGCAGTCACGCGGCAGGACCCTCTCCTCTCCGAGTCTAGTAACCCGGTTCCGTCCGAGTCTGACGAGGAGGAGCTCTCGGTCGAAGTCCCCACTTCCAGCTGGGCAGACCAAGTGGAATATATGGAGGGGTTAGCCGACGAAGAGGAAGAGGCCTCCCAGTTTCATCTGGACCTCCACCACGGAGGGGAGGACGTGCTGGATATCGGCATGGATGTTCATGGTCTGTCGGAAGACGACGATGAACCCGGTCCGAGTCCAGAAGCCCCCCTGCTGCGGGGGCAAACCAGGAGGACACGTCTTTTCTCTCTTTGTGTCGTCTCGCGGCTCAAAAACTGGAGGTGGAATGGCCTGCTTTCCCTCCTGCACAAAAACCGTCCTGGTTCGCTGGATTTTTTCTCCCCACTGAACCGACAGCGGTGAAAAACCGTCTTCCCATGTTCCCAGACTTCGTCTCGGAGCTGACGTCCTGCTGGACCAAACCTCTGTTCACCCGCGTCACAGTGCCCGGTTATGGGCCATATTTGGATTTGGAAGGAGCTGAAAAAGCTGGACTGGTGAACATGCCCCCCATGGAGCCGTCCCTGGCAGCGTATTTGGCCCAGTCTCACAACCATGGTGTGAGCAGACCCACCACGCTCCCTTCCAAGCCCTGTAGATTTTCTGCTGCGCAGTTAGAAAAAATCTACAAAGCTCAGGCCACCGCCGCTCGCGGCCTGAGTTCCATCAGCATGCTCCAGACTTACCAGGCTATGGCTCTGGCAGAGCTCGGAGCCCAGGTACTGGCCGAGAGTCCTCTGCTGCCTCTCTTAAATGAGATCAGACTCACCGCGGTCTACATCCTCCATGCGTCCCACAGCGTAGCGCTCTCCCTGGGCAGAGGGATGGCTTCAACCGTGGTGGTGCAGAGACATTTGTGGTTGACGCTCTCTGATGTCCCCGACAGAGACCGGGCCACATACCTGGATGAACCAGTTATGGCGGCTGGGTTATTCGGTCAGTCTCTCGAAGTTATTCAGGCGAAGTTCGAGCTGAGGAAGAAGCAGGCAGAAGCTCTGCGCTGCATTATCCCCAGACGGGACTCGAAACCCAAGACCAGCACTCAGAAGCCGGCCRCACAGCCGCCTCCGGCGAAGAGAACGGTGCTGCCCGGGAGCCTAGGCACCCAGCCACCTCAGCCTCATCACCATGGCCAACACCCCCGCCAGTCGGCTTGGAGCAAGGGCCCCCCTCCGGGTGTTCAGAAAGGCGCGACGCCTCGGAGGAAGAAGACGCAGTCCTCCTAACTGTGGGACCGTCACTGCAGGGACTTCAGGACCAGGGAGACATGTTCGCCAGTTTTCGGCTGCCGCCCAAGCGACATTTTGTTCGTACTGTTCAGGAAACCAGCCCCAAGAGCCTCCCCATTTTGCATCTGAGGAACAGAGGAGGTTACATTCTTTGTGTCCTCTACGTGCACTGCGTATTTACATTGACCGCACACAGGAGGTGAGGTCATGTGATCAGCTGTTTGTGTGTGTTGCTAACCCACTCAGGGGCAGGGCTCTGTCCAGACAGAGACTCTCCCACTGGATTGTGGAGGCTATCTCTTTAGCTTACAGCAGCAGGGGTCTCCTAGTCCCATCTGRTGTGAGAGCTCACTCCACCAGGGGTGTAGCAGCGTCCTGGGCACTATTTAAAGGGGTACCTGTGAGTGACATCTGTGCTGCGGCCAGCTGGTCTTCACCSCACACATTTGTTCAGTTTTATCGCTTAGATGTGACAGCCCCCTCGGTGGCTCACTCTGTGCTCTCCGCTGGGTCTGATGTGCTGCACTAGCATGTTAATATGACCCAAGTTTGGTGCTGCTCTGCGGGGCGTTTATATATGTCCCATACATGTTGTGTTGTACCGAGTGAATTGACTGAAAGGGAACATAATGTTATGCATATAACTACTGTTCCCTGAAGGAAAGGAACGAGGTACAACACATGGTGGCCCCGCTACACAGCTGGGCTAGGTGAAGAGCAGTTACCGAACTAAGGAGTGACTGTGATGCGACAGTATTTATATGTGCAGGCGGAGCCTGACATCTGTCGTCATCACGTCACCTGCCTAAAGGCGTGATTAGAGGTGGCTTCAGCCAGGACACGCAGGGGCGTGGTTCCCATACATGATGTGTTGTACCTCGTTCCTTTCCTTCAGGGAACAGTAGTTATATGCATAACATTACGTTTCCCTGTTTACCCAGAGCCTCGCGCTTAATAAATCCCCACCCCCGCCCCCACTTTGCCCATCATCTTTGACATGACATGGGGTCTTGAAGGGTGAAAGAGAAATTCAGAAACGCTTAGTAAATGTATATGCAGCTCAATAATTAACTCTGGGCAATTTATAGGAATCTCTGGGATCAGCAGAACTCGCCTCCACCTCACTAGGGTTTATAGCAATCATTAAGTTTCTCCCCCACCCCCACCCTCAGGCGCAGGGGGAGAATTAACAGCAGAGTGGAGGTTGGGGGGTTCGGTTTGTGTGTACACGTAGTCACATATGCTAAGGATTTCAGGATCATTCAATTAAATGGGTGTCAGAGATTTGACAGTCCGTTGGGTGTCTGTGCGCCTGTTGAGCCAGGCAGTAGAAACTATTAATGTACTTTAACACTTGCAAAGTGACTGAGGAAACCCCATTAAGTATTACTGGAGGGTCTTCGACTCTCGCTCCCACAGCAATCAAGCTCTCGTTTTTTAATCACATGCCAAAATGCCTTCCATAATAACACATTTTAATTGATTGGTTGGGGAAGCATTTCGCTGTTAGTATGTGGGGGAGTAGTTTGGAAGCGTTCCTAAAATGGAGGACCACTTACCAGCTGCAGCTCGGTAAGACTTTTTATTTGACGGGCCTGTCTCTTTGTTTTGACTGGAGCTGGTGAGACTCGTGGTGCTTCCTGCATCTTATTTATTAATCAGAGGCAGGACGGTGTGCAAAAATTATTCAAACCGCGTGCCAGTGAATGGTTAGAAGCTGCCTAGTGTTGCAAAAAATAGCTGATGATTCAAAATTTATTTCCCTGTCAGCATAAATCGAGCCATCAAGACTTAGGTCTGCTGCCAGGTTTCACCTCTCTGTTTTCTGCTGTTATTTAAATGTTTGAAAATGGAAATGAAAATATGACTGCAGTGCTAGAATTATAAACTTAAAAGTTACTGAGTTTTTAAGACTGTGGTCRTCTTTTGTTATATGTTTTAGATGCTATTCAACTGCTGGCCCATGGGCCACATCCAGCCCGCATGTGACTTCTGTCCGGCCTGTTGGTGACCCCTTCAAAAAAAAAAAGAGAAAAATTGAGAGAAATTTTAAAATATATGTTTTACTTCATTAAAAAAGATTTTAAATTATTTGTGAATTTAAAATTTATGATTCAATGTAACAAAATTAATTTTAAAGGTAAAAGATAATATTTGTACTCTTACACACTCCATTGTTTCACTTAATCTATAAATTCCAAGAAATAATGACAAGAATATAATGAAAATTGAAACAACTTGACACATGGTTTTTAAAATTGCATTTACTATTGTTTTTTCTTTATTTGATGACAAAAATAACCAAAAATCTGCTCAAATTTGTATAAATGTACATTTTGGAAAAGAGCATGTGTAAGGTATTAAAGTGGATGAAAATGGTAGCCTGTCTACATCACATCTTTTCACTCAGTTTTTAACTTTTTGTGTTTTTATGTCAGCAAATTTACTGACTGAGTTTTTAGTAGTTTGTAAAGGTGTGGCATGAAAAATGGGTTTAAAGTAGAGTTTATATTTAAATTATTATTTTTATTTTTTTGCTGTTTCAATCTTTATCTTTTGGCTTGTAGAATAGGACACTTCCACACTGTAGTGGATATTTTTCTCTGGAAGTGTGCCACTCATTCAGGGTGTGATCATTATAATCTTTTTTTTCTTTTTTCACTTTTTTCCATGACCCCACTAAAGGTGTAACATTTGTTTTTCCTCTTTAGCGTCTAATCTTGACACCTGCCAGATCCCATTTACTCAAATACTATTTCCCACTAGTTCTCGCCGCCAAYCTTCTGCTGAGAATATGTCATTTGTAATTTCGTTCCCTCTCCAACACTCCTTACCTCCTTTTTGTTCTTCCTCTAGGTCCGAGGAGGCCAATAAGGCCTTTTCAGCAGCGGTACAGATGCACGACGTCCTGGTGAAAGCCTGGGCTATGTGGGGAGACTACCTGGAGAACATCTTTGTCAAAGATCGGCAGCTTCATCTGGGAGTTTCTGCTATTACCTGCTACCTCCATGCATGCCGCCACCAAAATGAGAGCAAGTCCCGCAAGTACCTTGCAAAGGTGATTTGTGTTTTAGGCATTATGATGCTGAAAGKGGCTACATATTTTTGGTATCATAATACTCCTTTGTAGGACATCCTTAGCTTGAACTATGTCTTCTTGAAGAGAATATCACATTTTATTTGTGATTCTCTGGATTCCTGACCTTATTTAGGTCCAACATTATTGATGTCAATTAGATTCTGCCAAAGTTACAAGCAGAGACTAGTAATTGCATCAATGACAGTCTAGTGATTCACATAATCGATCAATAGTTAAGTGAAGGCCATCATCTGGCACAGTGGGTTAACAGACTAATGGCCTCCCCTCATGCTACAGACTCATGGTCCTCAGCACGGTGTGGCCTTTCTTTAGCAGTCCGTTTAGTCAGGGTGAATGACTAATAAGCTTGTAATGTCCACTGTTGCCATCGAGCAGCACAAACACAGTTTGTTTCCACGGCTTGTTAATTACATTCACATTTATATTAGATGTTTTTGATGACTCCCACACCAAAGTATCGAGCCGCCAAAAAGGTTGGCATTCGTTCTGATAGACAGAGAAAGACGAACAGACTTCATCAATAATTAAACCCAATCTTGTGTTCTTGGATTAGCTCAGTAAAGAGGARACGAGGAGCTGAGTGGGGTTAATGTCTTCTTTATATTGTAGACGTACACACAAAAAACACCAGCGGAGGAGAGATGACCTCCACGTTAACACGGCTCTGATCACGATAAGAACTGTTGARATGGGCTAATGGTGCTTTGCAGCTGTGAACAGAAGCAGGCAGGCAGTAATAATGGGATAAACGCTTAAGTCCCTCTCTTCTTGCTTTGTTACAATAGTTGAATTATTTTTAGATGTGTGCAGTGTTTTAATGTGACTTCTTTTAAAACATGCTTTTTTTCTTGTTTCCCCTACTTGTCTTGTTTTCAGCTTTTCATCACGTTTTAATCACCTGTTTGTATCTGTAGGTGCTGTGGCTGCTCAGCTTTGATGACAAGAACACACTAGCAGATGCAGTGGACAAATACTGCATTGGGGTGCCCCCTATTCAGTGGTTGGCCTGGATCCCCCAGCTTCTGACCTGCTTGGTTGGGTCAGAGGGCAAACCTCTGCTTAATCTCATCAGCCAGGTAAGGCCTTGACTCAACTCTTTAAGCTAAATTTAGATTTTATTTGTGTTTAAAGGCACAGTGTGTAGGATTTTGTCAATTCTTTTAGCCAAAATTGAGATAATCACTAATGACAATAATAAAAAACATGTCTAATCATTGCAGACAAAGACCTTGTTTTATTATTTTTACCTTATAAAAAGCTGTTTATGGTCATGGGTCGCCACTACAGGCAGCCGCCATTTTACACCACCATCTTGTCGACGAAGGCTCATGAAGGACAAACTGCGGTGGCGGAGTCAAAAACAGTTTTATTGTAATACTAAAGTAAGTAAGCTTTATTTCTATAGCATCTTTCGCAGATAAACATCACAAAGTGCTTCACAGAAAGCAAAAATAATTAAAAACAATAAAAC